ATATTATCAATTTTATTGTATAAATATATAGTTATTCAGAGTTTAACTTCTTTGAATTGAAAAGTCAAATTAGTCTTAATAAAAGTCGGAGGTAGTATATAGTTTGTTTCTATAATTTATAAGTTATGAATATGCTCGAGTCCAGATCGAACTGAACATGACTATGCTCGAATTCAGCTTGAATAACTAACTATTCAAACTCAAAAAAATAACGGCCTCTTTTTTTGTAAAAACAAACTATTTAAACAAAAATTTAGCCCGTGTTCGAGATTGAAGCTCGTTAAGCTTTGGTCATTAAATTAAATTCGAAATCACGATCGACTCGAGTAGTTCGAAAAAAAACTCAGTTCAATAACTATCAGTCCTAAGCTAAACCTTTTGTAAGCAATAACGAAAATTTTTACTGCTTAGCCCACCCCACCGCTCATTCCTGGATCCGCCCCTGAGCTCATACGATTTACATTCTCTACATCTCAACACACGCTTCATTGTCGTGGATGGCGTTTTATCCGCTCTTGATTCTACATATTTGAAGGGTGTGATGAGTTTGTAGGTTAGCATGGGAAGCTTGGTTTGCATGGGATCTCCCCTATATATATATATATATATATATATATATATATATATATATATATATATATATATATATATATATATATATATATATATAGGGAATGGTTCTAATGAGAACACCTCTTATTGTGAGAAGTGAGAACACATCTTAACCCACCATCTCATTGAATGAGCGGTTATTAAGTAATTGACTCACAATATAAAGATGGACTTGCTCACATAGTAACATCTCTTGCACAAATGGAAAGTGAGACGTGTAAGTAATAATGGACATTAGAGTAATTTTGTAATATGCATTTAATATAGTAACGAATGTAGGGAACCACTTTCCATAAAAGTAGGTAAAATTAAAATTTCAAATCATATAAAATGCTATTAGTTTAAAATAGATTTATGTTTTTAAATTATAATCCAATTTTATAAAAAATTATATCAAATTAAACAATTTTTTTTATCTTTCATATGATACCAATATCGCATATATAATTTTTTTTTTTGAAAAAATATGTATTATATGTATACAATAAACCACAACAAGTATTTCCAGCTGTCATACACAAAAGAATATCTATCCAATGCACGAAAATCAATATCTAATGCACACGAAAAGTAGTTTTCACAAATAGTTTGTATATAAAGCATCAGAACAAGTATCTTAATCACAAAAAGCAGTATCTAACACCCAACAATTAAGAACTAATATCGAACACATAAGGATTTCATATAATTTAAACTATTATATAATACACATCAACTAGTATCTACATCACAATACATATAACGTTAGAAACTTGTATCTAGCACATAGTATGGACATAGAGAATCACAACAAAATATTATCAAGCACAAGAACCGGTATCTAACACACAACCGCGAATAGTGCATTTTAGTGACACAATAGTGCAATAGTGAATTATACGGATGCATATGAGTGAGAAAAATATGCAAATGTTACATATAATTGTGCATTAGTCCATTGTTAGGATTTTTATTGAATACATTTACAATAAACATATCTTGCTACTGCATAAGAACTCGTATTTAATAACAAACACTCCATGATTAAGATTCTTACCAAAGACCAATCTTTCATCCAATTGATTAAAAATAATTAAATCATATGCAAATTATGCTCTACATTAGAGTAATTGTGTGTCACTTTATGTCAATTGTGCATTATTAATAGATTATGCACATTAGAATAAGTATGTTAGTTATGCACTATAATCAATTGTGCATACACATTATTTAGAATCATTGAAAAAACGCCAAGTACCTTGTGGTCTGATGGCATCACTGTGTCACTCCCAAAGAGGAGGTCACATGTTCGAATCTCATCCCAGTTCAAGGATGTTGGCATTAAAATTGAGCAGATAGTATATAGGTTAGAAAGAATTGTCCCAAAAAAAAAGAATCATTGAAAAAACTGATCTCTAAAATTAAATAGTGTGGCATATCATATACTTCCTCCGTTCCTTTTTAAATAATTAAATGCAACGTTCCACTTTTCACGTTTGCCAATGCACAAGTTTGACCATTAATACATTTCATTCCTTATTAGTAAAAAATATTAAAAAATTAGATTTTGAAAATTTAAAATGAGAGGAATTTAAAAATATTTTTTTTAAATTTAATATATAATACATTAACAAATAAAATTGAGTCAAAGTAAAACATGTGAATAGTGTAAAAAGTCCAATGTTGCATTTAAAAAAGAACGGAGGAAGTATACGGTGCATGGTTTATTTTTTACTCGTATTTGTTATCACAATATTATTTGTTATGAGAGACAAGATTCCAAATCTTTAATTGCAATTAAAGTGAAGGAGAAAGATAGTAATTTCTTTCCAGAAATAATTGTAAGCATTAACTAAAATGAGATGAACGGAAGTGTTACCAAAATATTGTTAAGTGATTCATTACCAAAATACCCTTAAGTGGGAGTGCAATCTTAAATAACGAAGCTTTAGAATGGATGGTTAAGATTTGTTCTCATTTCTTACGTTAAGAGTTGTTCTCATTTGATCCACAATCTATATATATATATATATATATATATATATATATATATATATATATATATATATATATATGCAATTTTAATGAGAACAATGCTTAAGATGAAAAGAACACACGAGTTTAATACAATTTGATGTACATTAATGTTCAAAATGTTGCATATTATTCTCCAGTGAAATAAACGGTTGCATATTAACATTCAAATGTTGCATTCGGAAAATTTTGATTTATTTACCAAAATGTAATGTGTATTTGCAGCACTTTGAACGTTATTATGCACCTGCGTATTTCATTGCAGAGTAATATGCAACTTTTTGAATGTTAATATCTCAGCAAATAGTATAATGATGCATCGTGCATATATTTGCACAATAAACACTGTTTGTACCCGATCTGCCCCTATATATATGTTATATATATATATATAGATTTTGGTTCAAATAAGAACATGATCTTATGAGAAAAATGAGAATGAATCTGGACCGTTAGATTTGCTTTATGTGAAATTTAATGTGCATTAGATGAAGCTGTAATGTGTATTAGGTGAAATTGAAATGTGCAACACAAAGGGTACAATGTAGTGGTATTATGTAAATCTAAATTGTGCATTAGGTGAATTTGAAATGTGCACTAGATGAAACTAAAATGTGTAGAATAAAAGGTACGACGTGATGTTATTTTTGTAACTTTTATTCTGCACATTTTAGTTTCACCTAATGCACATGTGATTTTAAATTTTTATTCTGCACATTTCAATATCATCTAATGCACATTTCGGTTTCACCAAATGCACAATTCAGTTCCACATAATTCAATCCAACAGTCTAGATTCCTCCTCCTTTTGGGGGCCTTCCCGGTGGTATTTTTTGCTCAAATTTTTTGTGTATGTTCTTCATCAAGTCTAGTTCATCCATACCAAATTTCATCAAAAAATTCAATCGGGAAGGTCGTCAAATGATTTTTGCAAGTTAACTGGTCCGGAATATGTATTTTCCGTTTAATACCTTGGACGCTTTGCAAGTTCTTAGTATCCTCTTTTGCACTTCGTAACAATTATGGGGCTGGCTTTGTGTGTATTTAAGAAAAACTGGTTCATTAACACTGATCATGATTGATGAAAATCTGTAAAACCCATATTGAAAATGGAGATTCTGAGTGAGTTAAATGTTGGTAAGTGTGGCAGTGATAATGGCGAGTTGCGAGAAGAACAGTGTGAAGATATTAATTAATGATGGTACGTACATGCGACATCAAAGGTGTTGCATGCAATTGTGATGATAGAAGGTAATGTCAGTGACTGGAAGTAGGTAGAGACGATGGTGTTGGGATGACAGTGGAATAATGGTAAGGTAGTAGCAAACTAGCAGTAACCTTGGTGGCTGTCATAGGTGGCGGTGACTCCGGTGAGTTTCGCCATAACCAGGAAAAGCTGCTAAATAGATCCATATACTTTACTAAACACTCAATTGATTAGACTTAATCTTAAATGAATTGATCAAGTCCGTGAAATATCAACAAATAATCAAATTGGCTATTTCCCAGGTATTCAACTTGTTTTCTAGTTAACCAACATGGATCATTCGGTTGGCATTTTTTAGGTTTTTTTCAAAAATACTACTACAATAAAACATATTTACAAAAATATGCTTAATAGTTACTATAATGTAATGTCATGGTCACTTAAGTTTAAAAAATGAACATAAGTTAGTAAGATTTCATTACTACTTTAGTCACTAATCACAATTTTGTAAACAATTTTTATTTTAGTCATAAAAGTGTAATTATTTCAATTTTTTACTGTTTTCTACTTATTTTTCTTATAGTTTTTCGTTTCCTTTTTCTCTTTCTTTCTTTCTTCACTTTTTCTCTTTCTTTCTTCTTTCTACCTTTCAGTCCGCTCCTTTCCTGTTTCATGCCTCTATTGCAAACCTACTGCCATCTCCATTCCCTCCATTTCTACTGCCCCTGCCTCCGTATCCACAGATCCACCTAGTCAGTTAGTTTCTTAACTAGCTAGTGCATTATAATGCTAGTTGGTAGCAGGGTTGTTAGGTGGATTGGTGTTATTGGTGTTAAGACTGCATGTTGAGGTCACATAGTCATCTCATTATTTTTACCTGTGTATTGCATCTACTCACAGTCACAAGACTTCCAAGACATTCAGAGCTTCCAAATCTGGCATTTGCATTGAATATCATATTCACATTTAATATTGCTAAATGGCGAGGCGACATTTTTCTTAGTTTGTTTTCCATTGCAGATGTGGAGGTAAAAACCGCTTTTGAAAGTGAGTTAGAATTGCATGAGTTAAAAGGAAACCATTGACAAATTGGAAATACTTCGTATGTTAAATTAGGTAGGTAACCTTTCAATTTAAGAAAGAAATACAGGAGTGCAAAATGCAAATAGCCCAAGGGTGATTCTGTTGATTGATGCCTGAAAATTAGTTACTCCGTAAAATAAACCATTTACATCGACTGTTTTATACATGCAAACACACACACAAAATGTCAAAGTGGATGTATTGATACAATACAATTATTAACCATAGTAATAGTAATCTCTGAATCGGACAGCAGTGTCATATAACCATTGTATACTCCATCAAGAGGGGTGATGCATACGGATGAAATAAAGTACCCACCTAGATAGCACAGTGAAATGATTGAATGAATAAAATAAGCTGCTTGGGGTGATTATAATGAAGTTAGAGGCTCATGAATCATGAGCATATAAAATATAGAGCTAGGTAAGTTCTGTTGACAATAATCACTTTGAAAAAAATACTACGTAGTAATTCCTAGTACTAAGAACGGCTAACACCAGGCCGATATTCTCCAATTCCAAGCAGATCCTGCAAAGACAAAATGGATAAATGGGTTGTTCATTACATTGGCCTTCATGGAAAAAAATGAAGACATTATTGAAACTAAACACCAATACAAAGTTGACAAACATCTAACTTTCTGTGTCAGTTGATACACGATGAATCGCATTGGACATTATTCTATTTGTTGACTCCTATGGAATCACTGACATGTGGAGTTGATGGTAATATGGCACGAAGTCTATAATGAGTGATATAGTCAAAGTAAGAATGGGAACTAGACACAATATCGGTGTACATAAATAACAGATTTAAAAGAAGCTATTAGAAGCAGGATTTCAGGGTGACACTGATTATAAAAAAGAATAATTTTAACCTGGCAAGCTTTATTTTTTGCCCTTGTTTCTGCTGTACTTGGAATGTCATGATTTGGTTTCATGAATCTTTTCTCGCGCCTCTCACACGAACCCCATCCATCTGAAAACCTACCCCCCCTGGGAAAAAAAGATTAAGAAAGACTAAAAAAAGATTTAGATCAAGAAAATGAAAGGTACGAAGTAATGTTTTGAACTGCCACACGCAAAAAAGCAATATAGTACATACTGCATATATGCCCGAACCACAAATTCAGCTCGCACAACATTGCGGTTGTCATCAAATTCAATGGTCTTGTCTTTGATTTCATAAGATACGTTGAAGTAAAATGATATTTTCCTCCATCCTGACAATAGTATATGCATTCCAAGACACAGTCGCAGTTGAGGAATGCCAAAAGGTAGTCACAATGATATTATATATAGAGAACACCTTGAGGCTGAGGACCTGAAAATTTACCTGATTTTTTAATATAAGGGCTTCCTGAAATGATTGTGTAATCACTTCTCTCCAATATCTGTCAAAATTTTCATTTTACAACACTTGATAAAAAAAACCTACGGCTCCTAAATACCCATCTTTGAATATCTGTACTCATAGCTTACTTAGAAAATAATAAATTTTCCCAAATTCTAACTTTAACAGAATAAATAGTGTTGACCTTCCAAAATTACAAAAAATGTGCTATTATTTTTCAAACTACATTTTTTTATCAATTACTCCTATTTGTAGAAGATGTGGTTCATTTGGAAAACTATCAATTCGTTGACATGCCAATAATGTTCACAAATTCAGACAGTTTCGTCCAAAAATAAAAGGGGGCTGCTTACTATTATTGCTTCAAAACTTCGTATTACTCGATATTTAATAGTTCAGAACATTTCCTCAATGTATGATATGTGCCTAACTTGTCAAAATATTTAAACAAACATGAAGAAAGATAACGATCGGACTAAGATATGGAGGAAACGGTAAGATTTTACCGCCATTGCTGCATTTTGGTACTCCTTGAACAGATCCACTGACGGGAACTGACCACACAAGCTATGCCTTGTAATTCCTGTTCTATCATCACATCTTCCATGGTTCATTTTCGTTCCCGGGGAACACTCAGAGCTAACTGGACTATTGCTACAGTAACCGTATTCTGTAACAGGATACCTTGTTTCCTGAGGAGAGGAATGAACCGGCGTAGCCGCGGTGCGTTGCTGGTGTTTCACCATTGCCAGAGGTGGCGTACCCATGCCGCTTCGATACGAAGAAGCCGGACTGTTGAACTTGGTAGTTTTATTCGAGCCTTGATTGAAGACCTCGCCATCAGGGTGAGGATGCTTTCTAGGGCTTTTAGAAAGCCCACATTGGGGGGAGGATAAGGGGAAGGGGACAGTAGGAGAGTGCTTGACAGCAAGAGGTTTACATTGTTGAACTGTGGCGACGGTGGCCGTCCTGGAGGTGATGGAGGCGGCGGCAGCGGAATCGATCACCGCCCACAACGCGGCATCATCCAGGTCATTATCGTCGACTCCGTAGGCAATTAGAGAATTCATGCCACAGAGAAATTGGGGAGGGAACCAATGACCGATTCGCTCGTTGGCTGGTCTATATAATTACAAACATTTTTTAGAAAGTTTTGGGCTAGTAACATTTATTTTAGAGTTTTTACCCCTAAATAGGACCGAATTATGATTAAAATGCCTAAATAGGAGTTAATGTTTAACTATTCCTAAATAAGACTCCTTATTCCCGAATTACCCCTACTATAATAAAACCCCATCTCTGCATCTTACTCCTCGATCGATCGACATCTTCTTCACCGCATCGGCAAAACTCTTCTCCAAGTTCTGAGATTCTCTTCCACCCACCACTCTGGCGGTCCGGCTCCAGCCAACGATTCTCTTCTACAGGTAATCCCGTCATCCTCCTCCTCTTTCTCTTCCTTCTTCTTTTCTTCTTCTCCTTCTCCTCCTCTTCTCCTCCTCCTTCCTCCTCCTACTCGATCTATTCTTTACTCATCTTGCATTTATGATTAATTTCTGTCAGTTCATTCCAATATGTTTTCGATTTTTACTAGAAAATTTAATTTTTGGTTTGTAACTTTTGAATTCAAAACAGTTAGGTATGAAATTTCGAACCTCTTGTTCAAAAACATTCAGATCTTTATTTTATTATTGTGTATCTTTATAAAAAAAATGCCACATTTATGGCATTTTTTTATGGAGATGGGAACATTGCATCTTTGAAAATGCCAAATTTTTGGACATTTTCACAAATTGTGGCATTTTTATGACATTGAATATGAATTTCTTTGCAACATTGCTTCTTCATTTTTCTTCTCCTATTTCACATTTTGGACTCTAAAATGGGAAAATGGCATGATTTGTAACCTGAAAATTCCATGTTTTTGCATGTAGAAATGCCATTTTTTTGTCATTATGGTTATCATAATTGCAATTTTGCCTGAAATTGGTAAAATACACTCCACAGGAGGTAGACATGAGTACGTGATTAAGAAAACACTAGAGAAGAATTTAGCTATGGCTCCACTCTCGCAGTAGGAAGGGATAAGAACTGCGGCGGCGGTCTGCCTTGGCTGCGGCGGCGGTCTGCCTTGGCTGCGGCGGCAGTCTCGCTTGGCTGCGGCGGCGGCCTGCCTTGGCTGCGGCGGCGGTTTCGCTTGGCTGCGGCGGCTATGTTTGGAGTTCAGGGAAGCTGCTGAAGGTGTCGGGCTATGTTTGGAGTTCAGGTCATGCGCATCACCGAATGAGGCAGTTGGGGCCTGGGGAAGGGTCTTTTTTAACGTGTAATTCCATTAAGGGCATTTTTGTCTAATCAGTTGCTTTTTGGTCCTATAAAATATGAGAGTCCTATTTGTGCATTTCAACATTGATTTAGTCCTATTTAGGGAATTACCTCTTATGATTATGTTACATATTCGATGAAAAGTTGACTAATAAGATAGATAAGCCGAAAAAACAGAATCACTAGTAATTTTTTAGTAACAATTTTCATTACATTCATAAAGGAGGGCATTGCAGACTGAGCAAGGATGGCAACGAGTGTACCGGCCGGTGGACGAGGGGGAATTGCTAATTACATATTCTCTCCGTCCCAACTTTAACTTGACACACTTATTAAGAGAGTGAAATAATAGAAATGTAAGATTGTAATTGACAAAGAAAAGTGTAAAATAAAGAGGTAATTCCCTAAATAGGACTAAATCAATGTTGAAATGCACAAATAGGACTCTCATATTTTATAGGACCAAAAAGCAACTGATTAGACAAAAATGCCCTTAATGGAATTACACGTTAAAAAAGACCCTTCCCCAGGCCCCAACTGCCTCATTCGGTGATGCGCATGACCTGAACTCCAAACATAGCCCGACACCTTCAGCAGCTTCCCTGAACTCCAAACATAGCCGCCGCAGCCAAGCGAAACCGCCGCCGCAGCCAAGGCAGGCCGCCGCCGCAGCCAAGCGAGACTGCCGCCGCAGCCAAGGCAGACCGCCGCCGCAGCCAAGGCAGACCGCCGCCGCAGTTCTTATCCCTTCCTACTGCGAGAGTGGAGCCATAGCTAAATTCTTCTCTAGTGTTTTCTTAATCACGTACTCATGTCTACCTCCTGTGGAGTGTATTTTACCAATTTCAGGCAAAATTGCAATTATGATAACCATAATGACAAAAAAATGGCATTTCTACATGCAAAAACATGGAATTTTCAGGTTACAAATCATGCCATTTTCCCATTTTAGAGTCCAAAATGTGAAATAGGAGAAGAAAAATGAAGAAGCAATGTTGCAAAGAAATTCATATTCAATGTCATAAAAATGCCACAATTTGTGAAAATGTCCAAAAATTTGGCATTTTCAAAGATGCAATGTTCCCATCTCCATAAAAAAATGCCATAAATGTGGCATTTTTTTTATAAAGATACACAATAATAAAATAAAGATCTGAATGTTTTTGAACAAGAGGTTCGAAATTTCATACCTAACTGTTTTGAATTCAAAAGTTACAAACCAAAAATTAAATTTTCTAGTAAAAATCGAAAACATATTGGAATGAACTGACAGAAATTAATCATAAATGCAAGATGAGTAAAGAATAGATCGAGTAGGAGGAGGAAGGAGGAGGAGAAGAGGAGGAGAAGGAGAAGAAGAAAAGAAGAAGGAAGAGAAAGAGGAGGAGGATGACGGGATTACCTGTAGAAGAGAATCGTTGGCTGGAGCCGGACCGCCGGAGTGGTGGGTGGAAGAGAATCTCAGAACTTGGAGAAGAGTTTTGCCGATGCGGTGAAGAAGATGTCGATCGATCGAGGAGTAAGATGCAGAGATGGGGTTTTATTATAGTAGGGGTAATTCGGGAATAAGGAGTCTTATTTAGGAATAGTTAAACATTAACTCCTATTTAGGCATTTTAATCATAATTCGGTCCTATTTAGGGGTAAAAACTCTAATCATAATAGTGACTTTTTTAGTCCTCCACTGATTATGTCAAAATCATAATGGGGGGATTAAAAGTGTCAATTTGACAATACTCAGGGACTGAATGTGGGAAACTTTGAAGTCGGGACTAAAAGTGTCTCTAGCACAATAGTCAAGGACTAAAAATGGAACAATTAGAAATCGAGTACCAAAAGTGTCATTGACATAATAGTCGAGAGACCAAAAATGAGAAAAACTCTATAATTAATGCGCGGTACAATTCTAGCTCCACCACTTTAATCAATAGTGCAATTTTTGGTGGACCAGGCATGAACACCTTTTCAATGCTTGATGTACCCACTCGTATACTCACCTTATACCCGCCATATTTGTGAATTGTTTTTTTTGTCTGTGAACCTGGTTCACAGACAATATTTTGTTTGTCCAGAATGTTGTCTGTGAACCGGGGTTCACGGAAAAAAAAAAAACATTTCACAAACATAGGTGGGTACATCTTGGTTTTATGTTTGATGTGAATGGATATGAGCGGAGCCTAGTGCGGTTGTTTTTGGTATGATTAGATTAGGTGTACAGATTGAGAATTCTAATCAAAACCCGGTTAAATGATAAGTGCTACAGTTACGTTTTTTCAAAATACTCCCTCCGTCCCCATTTAAATGTTCCAGAAGCGTGTGGCACGGGTTTTAAGAAAGTGGGTTTGTGTGATTGATATTAATTGATAAAGTAAGAATGATTTTGAGTCACACAAACTTTACCAAAAAAGGTATGTGACAATTAAATAGGGACATCCAAATATGGTAAAACGGGACATTTAAAAGGGGTGGAGGGAGTACATTTTTTCATCTTCAATGCAACAACATTTCTTTAATTTGAAGTAGCTCAATGTCATAGTTAACTACTATCGTACGGAGTAGGGGTGGGCAAACGGGTCTTGGAACCGCGGTCCGGATAATGGCGGTCTGGTTCGGATAATGGCGGTTCGGGTCCAAAACGGGCCGGTTCCACTTTTTGTTGCAAGAAAACGGTCCGGATAGGTCCGGGTAATTTATTTTTAAGACCCGGGCCGGTTCCAAAATAAAAAATACCGGGTACCCCGCCCGGCCCGTTATATATACTGTAAAGTACTCCCTCCGTCCCGCAATGATTGTCTCACTTTACCATTTCGGTTCGTCCCACTAAAATTGTCTCATACCTTATTTGGTAAAGTTTGTGTGGTTCTAAATCATTCCTACTTTATTCTTACTTTATCAATTCAATATCAACCACATAAACCCACTTTTATTAATAACCGTGACACCTTCTCTTGTCCCAAACTTAGGGGGACGGAAGTAGTAATTTTTTAATACACTGGCCTCTGCCAACTTAGTTTACTTAGCCCATTAGGTTGTGATTAAAACATCTTGTTTACATTTATATAAATAGTTGACTTTGTCCTTATGTATTGCAAACTTTGTGTGTTTAGTGATTATGATTTGCACATGCCACATGCATGGGCATTCATCGTCCTACAATCCAGTAGGGAAAAAATTCATCAAGGACTTGTTTAATTCCAACTTCGTCAATCGGTTGTTCACTGAAAGTATGAAGATTCCTTCAGTTCATGATCCTATTACTTTTCATATAAATAGGATTTAGTAATTGATGACCATATTGTTTGTGAACTTTGATATATAAAGTTACGAAGTATTGAAATTGTCACTTGTGTTAGATGTGCACCAGTATGCTGTTATTTTGAAACGTGCCAATGTACTATATTATTTATCATTGATTATTGTTTTTTTGAACTTTGTAAGTTTTTACTATTTTAAGACATGAAATAGGACGATAAAAAAAGACATGGAAATAGAAACCGAAAAACTCGATCCGGACCGACCAGTTCCATTTTATTTTGCATTACCCGCCCCGCCCCGACCCGTGCCCAGCCCTAGTACGGAGTATATGGGAATCTGGACGCAGGACACTCGTCGAACTCGTCGATCTATCACATAAGTTGTGATATGTAGTACTAGTGAGTGCAATTAATGGATAATAAAAACATACAAACCAAAATATATGCTACTACCTAAATTGTTTTACAAAATCAACATTTTATGATCGAACAATATTAAAGTTAAATCCTCCCTATTGATAATTAATCCTATTGATAATTAATTAAATTTTAATAGAAAGAATGGCAAAAATAATAGTTCCAACATACCCTTAGACAAAAATAAGAGTAGTTTTAAAAGTGGACAAAAAAGAGACCGATTATTAGTACATGACCCAAATACCCTTACTCCACCGCACCAGCTCCCAAACACCGTCGAATCTCAACTCTCTTCTTTCGCGCATCGCTCCATCGCACATCGCGCAAGCAGTCCAGCAGACCAACACCATCGCCCATCACATCTCGCTGCCTTCACCTCTGCTCCATCATCCATCAGTTTCTTCTTTGCCTATCGCACTAGCAACATTCCGTTCCTTCGCACCAGCACCAGCAACATTCTGTTCCTTCGCACCAGCAACGACACCTGGTTTCTTTCTTCTCCGTCGACTCCTCCTTTGACTCACGTCGCCATCCCATATCGCCGCCCCACAGAGCTTCTTCTTATTTGTTCGCGTTTCCAAATCTAAGGCCAGGATCCGGCAACTAGGGTTTTCAAAATTGGGTCGGCGGCAGTGCGGAATTGGAGAAAAAGGGGTTGGGGAGCAGGTGAGGGGAATGTGGTTGGGGAGGGTCGAGAGCAATCGGCCGGTACTGACGGGTGTGGTGGTGGAATGCTATTGTGCAGGGGTTAGAGATGCAACTTGGGGTTGGGGGCAAGGGGCTAGGGTTACGCAGGGGAAGGATGGCTGGGTGAGGCAGGGGTGGGTGAGGCAGTGGAGGGGGCTGGGTAAAGCAGTGGCTGGGATGCGGTGGTCGTTGGCGGTGGTCACTGGCAGTTGTTGCCGAAAGTTGTGATCGTTAATGGTGGCAGGGTGGTGGTTGGTGTGGGTAACCGAATCCGGTAACGTTAATTAGTTGTATTGGTTGATTAGAACCGGTCAAATTGGATTATTATAATTGATAAATCGGATAATCCTAATTGGACAGATCGGATAATTGTAACTGAACGAGTTGGTTAGCTATAACTAGACGGGTCGAGTAACTGTAACTGGCCGGGCTGGGTAACTGTAACTGGTCGGGTTGGGTAACTGTAACTAATCGGGTCGGGTAACTATAACTTGTCGGGCTGGGTAACTATAAATGATCGGGTCAGATAACTATAACTGATCGGGGTCGGGTTTTTGGTCACTATTGGGTTTTGGTCACTATTGGGTTTTGGTCACTATCGGGTTTTGGTCACTATTGGGTTTTGGTCACTATCGGGTTTTGGTCACTATTGAGTTTTGGTCACTATCGGGTTTTGGTCACTATCAGGTTTTAGTCACTATTGGGTTTTGGTCACTGTATCGTACTGTAGCATCAGTGAGTGAAATAAGGGGTATAATAGTCTCTTAACTTATTTTTAGTCTTATTTTTTGAATTTTTTTAAAATGTTAACTCTTTTGTCCAAAGCTTTTTTTAGTAATATTTTTGACAAAACTCCATTATAATAATCAAAATTAAAACAAACATTAAAATCTAATATACAAAACCCAAACTACAATTTAAATAAGATTTGATTTTCGAATTAAAAAGAATAAAATAAATCTATTTGATCCAAAAAGTCCAATCTCTAACTCAATTTCATTATTAGGTGAGGTCTCTAAAGAGATGAGTGTGACGATGAGTAGATGCTTTGACAGGCAGTCCAAAATTTTGATAAACCCTGATATCACCTCCCAAACTTGCCGTAACGATCACAAGCCCCCAGGCTGTTGCTCGGATGGTCTCACCGCCAAATCGGGCGGAAGACGGCGAGTCGCGGACAGAAGCGGCAGCGGAAAGGGGACACAGATGGTCATCCTTTCTCTTGGGCAGCGGCGGCAAGTGCCTCCTCCGGCCGCCGCGTTCTTCTTCATAATCTCTCAAAGGAGAACCAATGAAGGCCGCCCATATACTAGTTGATGATGATTCATTTGGTGGAAGGAAAGGTGAGCTCCTGCTGCTTTTGGAATGCCGCTGCAGCTGTACCACCGGCGGGTCGTTGTTGTTTAAGATTCCGGGCCATGGCACGACAACCGAGACGTCTTTGCACGGGAATTTCTCGTGAGCGCGAATGGTCACCGCCCTTCTTCGCCCCCCACAACTATAGCCGTCTTCTCTTTTCCATATGTATACTTGAGAATCTTCGCTCGGGCTTATCACATATCTTCCGTCAGGGCTATATGAAGCTGATGAAATATTGCTGTTGCTGCTGCTTGTATTGTGGAACCCTGTACTTTGCATCATACAGATTTCATAAGTACTCCGTATATTTTGAGTAACTCTAACAAAACATCACCGATTGTTAGATAAATTCATGACAAAACATATTACTCTTTTGTTACACTGACAAACAGGGGTGGAGACAGAGAGGGGCTGGAGGGGGCCTCGGCCCCTGCAAGGAAACAAAATTCTTAAGTATATATTATGTATAAATACGTTTAATCTATAGAAAATATGTTGATATTTTAAACCTTGGCTCCTGCAAAGTAAAATTTTCAAGAACAAACCCCTTTAACTATAGACTTCTGGCTCCGCCACTGCTGACAAATTAACTCTTTGACAAATGTGTTATGTAGTATTTTTCTTGCTGGACACATATATTAAGAAAAATGAAAAGTACTCTATCCATCCCCTTTTATCGGGATGGAAGGGAGTGACACGCCAACTAAGACAAAAGTGTGTTTTTTGATAAAGTAACCAATCAAAAAGTAAAAACCGAATCATACTAAAGTATATCTCTATTACTCCCTCATTAAATTTATTTTTTACTTTTCAAATAAGGTATGAGACAATAATAGTGACATCCAAAAATGAAAAAATTGGACTATTATAGGGAGACGGGCAGTGGCGGATCTAGTGTTTACAATTTGGGTGTTCAAAATTACACATTTTCTCTTTAAAATACTAATAAATAAATTATTACTCTAATTTGTATATATATTCCCATTGTTTTTTTACTTTTGGGTGTTCACATGAACACCCTTGCATAGAAGAGATCCGCCCCTGGAGACGGGTGAAGTAAGAACTAATTTTCACCATTGATGTTCTAAAACACGGAAGAGATCGGTTTAAAATGTAAAATGTGTTGCCCTTAAAGAGAAAAACGTGGTGCCGTTGATGTGAAAATATGTACCCTTGAATTTATGTGTAAAGGTTGATCCATCATGGATACGAATACTCGAATCAGCGGTGGAAATGAGCACCTCAGAGGTATTCCTTGGCGAGTACTGTAAAAAGAAATTCAATTCTCATAAATAGAATAATGTGTTATGTGTATATATATAGATCAAATACAAACTGATCCTAATTTACAAAGTGCAAACTAATTCTAGTCATCCATATTAATGAGATAATGGTCAAGATTGGAAAAAACCTTCCATAACTAATGCTCCGTATTTAGTGGTAAGAGAATAAAATCTCCCCCACTAATACGGATGGATATTAGTGCTAAAAAAAATCTTGTCCTTGATTTTCTAATATTGGACGGATGAGATGAATTTGCATTTTGTATCGGAAGAACACTTTGCATCCGATCTTAACCATATATATATATATATATATATATATATATATGTTATACTCATTCCATCTCACAAAACTTTGTCATTTTGGCTTTCTTGATCAATAATGGACAGATTTGACTAATGCTTTTTTGTATACAAAGTTATTTAAAATAAGAAAATTATATGAAAATATTATTTGTTCAAAACACTTTCATAAAAGTATAAAAATAATAAATTTCACATAAATATAACAATTAGAATTATTGTTCAAAGTTTATTACAATTTACAAAAACAGTCAATTTGGCCAAATGTTATGGGACAGAGAGACTAGCACTACAAAAAAATCGTAGAAGATTTGACAAGGATATGCCAAATTCATGCCAAAAACGTTTTGCCATGATCTATTTGGCATGAATCATCAGTCAATCCATGTCAAACTCGTGTCAATCTCATAATTATTTTTAGTGTAGGGAGTATATGGGATGAGTTACTGTACATTGAGAGACTACCTGAAAACCTGTGACCTTTCTTATTTGGGACTTTTTCCTGCTTTGAGTATCAAATTGATCTTTTTGCTCTAGTTTGCAATCTAATGTCATCCAACATAATGTTAGAAGTTAAAGAGTAGTGCTAGCATAAATGCATAATAGTGGAATTGAATATGCATGTAGTTTGATAATTAACTTCACTCTTATACGTACCTGTGGTATTGTAATAACGACAGCTACCTCTATGCGAACCGATCATGGCGCCCTTGATATATATACGATTACATTGAAATAAAAAAAATTAGCACAAATTTAAAGCGTAAGTAATCTTAAAATCTTCTACAAAATTATAAGCATGAATTAAGGTAAGGCTATTTTGGGTATTAAAAATTTGTCTGTGGTACATCATAGCTTAATAAACGTGTACCATATGCTTAAGTCAATGTACTTTATCTTCTACTTTTTTCATTAGAACGCCTATGCGTCTATCTACCGTCCTCATTTATCCGTCAACAAACGGAAGTGCAGCCTCATCCGCTCGTCACTCAGCTATGTGTCTCCCCCTTTCACGTCCCAACTTCTCATCCATTCAACAAATGAAATTGTTAGGGTTAGATAGGATGTCTATTAGACTATTACATATTCTACATATATCCTTTACTCGACATTGTTTCTGCTTGACTCTCCATCTTCTTTGTTTTCCATTTAGAAACACGCTGGTCAGTCCATGGATGCCGAACGGCCATTTGAAAGCTCAAGAATCCTGGGTGTTCCACCTATAAACACCAAATGGGTGTTTAACTTATTTTGAATTTCGTCGCATCCTCTTGTGAGTTCTTTACCCTCTCCAGGAGTATAGAGATATATTTTCTTTATTCTCAATTGTATGTTTACTTTGCCTTGTTTCTCTTGCTCATGTGTTTCTGTACCTGTTGTTTGATTCATTCCAGAAAGTGTTGTTTCTTTCATCTACTTATAGTTTTAGATTGTTGTTATTTCATTTTACCCCTTCCTTTTGGCTTTGATTGCTATGTGTTTGCTGAAATTCCCATATGAGTTGTTTTATGTTTTTCAATTTGAAGGAATTTCTTTTGTTTTGCTCGATTAAGTGTTTATGACATCGGTACACGTTCCATGAAAACAATGTTCTACAATTTTGTCTGAAGACCTTGTTCCCAAACAACTTGAAGTGTAGAATTTATGCTTTCCAAATTCCACTTCCCAAGCAACAAGCGAAGTTGCTGTGAAGTAGAAAACAACACACAATTAAATTTATTCAAGCAAGTAGAGAGTAGTTAACAACATCAAAGCAGAAAATGAGATAAACCGACACCAAATAAATACTCTGTTAGGAGAGATGAAAATAAATGGATTATTTTGCTTAATTGAGTTGCATAATATTTATTCATATTATGTGTCTTCGCACTGTAATAAACTTCATCTCCTCCTTTGATTTGCCCCACCCCCTCAATCAGTGGCGGACTGAGCATGGGGGCAGCTGTCCCCCAAAAAATTTATTTTCCTAGGTATATTTACCCCGAAATTTTAATATATATGTATTTGTATGTATAATTTTACACTCCCGCCCCTCCTAGCGAAAATTCCTGCGTCCGCCGCTGCCCTCAATAATGTTATTGTTTTTGAGTTTTTCCTTTTTTCTTTTATTTCTTATATTCTTTTAGTCTTTATGCTCTCATGTTAACCGGTTGTTCATGTTAGTGATGTTGCCTGCATCAAGGTGTTGTTGGTATTCCCTAGAAAGCTTTGTTTGAAAGAGATGAAAAAAACACTATGTGGCGTTGTGCCTCCCATCCCTCTGGTCCTGTAAGTTTTAATTTTTATTTGTTTAGGCGGTCATGAATATAATTATGGAGCAATTTTATTTTCAGTTCTGCATACAACTCGATCTTCCCCCTCTCTCGTGGAAGTTACAGAATTAAAAAAAACACAATCTCATCTAAAACTCCAGCTTTTTCCCATGTTTATCATTGATGAATTGAATAGAAAATTTATATGAGAATGCTTTTTAGAAATGGAAAATTTAATCTGGTTAAACCAATCACATAAAATGGCTCCTAAATATGAGTTTAACTCATTTCCCACTTTCTTTTTTGGGAACCCTTGACTTGTAATCCATTTAATAGCGGAAAGTCAAAAATAGTTAGGCTAAACAAGAATGACATATAATGGAAATATGTAATATGTAAAAATAGAGTGTGTTGACCCCAAAGACATATATAGAAAAGTGGTGTAAATTTGTCTGTAGCAATACTTCTATGTGAACTATGTGTAAACTTGCTCCTGCTTCAACTATGTTGGTGTAAATTTATAGCCATATTTACATTTAAAACTATGTGAACCAATGTGTGTCACTATGTGTTTGTGAATTTGTCTCAATCACATTCACCACACCTATTTATGGAAGCTTTGATTCTTGGTTGTGCCACATATTAATGAGATAACCTGTTAGTTCTGAAATTTTATTTCTTTTATTTTCTTTAGAAGTTATTTACGTCTTGAGAATCCATGAGCTGGTATATAGCTCATATATCTTCTATATAGGAGTTCAATTTGTTGTTTCCTCCCTTGTGAAGAAAAGTGATCAACGAGGCTTTGTGATTACTTTTTAAGGTCATAACAAAAACTCTTTTAATTTCTAAAGCTTCCTTTAATTTAAAAAAAAATTAAGGAATTTAAAATCCCAAGGATGTTTTATGATGCTCAAGTATTCCCTTACTTTTATTTTTTCCATACTCATATATTTATTTTCCAATTTTTTGAAACTCGGTGTCTAAATACATTACTTTTGCATGTTGCAGCACTGAGTTAGATCAGATTACTTTGGGAGGACGTAGCAACCTCTGAGATCAGATTACTTTTGGATGTTACAACAGCTATTGAACTCATATTCATATGTGTTGTCCTGTATATGTTACATAATATGGTTATTTAAAGACTCAAATTACTCTTCATGCAAAAAATACTCCAGGAGCAGATCATTGGGTGGGGATTAAGAATTTTTCACATGTTCTGGAGTTTGTCCAGGTGTAAGAGCTCAACCATGGGGTTTTGGGATCAGTTTCTTTTTATTGTAATTACTAAGTGTTATAATAATCTTTATGTTCTATAACTAAAGTGCAATTATAGAAAGTGAAATTTTTGCACTTAAAACTCTCGTCCAGGGATTGTACTCAAACCAGGAAAATCATACACCCTTGAATTCGCCGGAGATAGGGAAAGACTCCATATTTCACAGGAAAAATTGCTTGAATCCTCATATAAAAAAGTACCATATGATGAGTTGTTTTCCTGCCTTGCTTGAGAAAAATGAGAAAAGTGATGACTGAGAATTCAAGCTGTGAATCTTTACATGTTACCACTGAAGCTGGTGGATGTAGCAACATTTTTCAAAAGGAGAGAAGTGAGACATATAAACTCGATGAGCGAAATAATCATATAAGGTTTCAACCTGATTGATTGACTTCCTAACTGGGATGGACCTGTTAATGAGTATGTTTTTAGTGTTTTTTATTCATTATCATTATGGATATTTTTAGGGAAGAAAAAAAAATGTACAAAGACTCTTAATTAGTTATACATTAAATAACAGGTGGCTGTTAATTACATAGTCTGCAGAATGTGGAGACATCCTTCACCTTATCAAGAACAGTTTTAAGCTCATGATATTTGACTTAAGGTACGCTCATTCTTTCCAAGAGTTGTAATTTGGAAGTAATTTAAATCAATCAACACACAAGTAGTTAAAGAAATAAGTTCTAAATACACTACCCCTACGACCGTGTCCATATTTAGAAGTCACTTAGTATGCCCAAATGAGTTTATACGCCTTGAAAGATTGAAGCAAAACTCACTCGCCAACATTTGAGTGTTGAGGCTCGTATTAGGCTTTTTAGCTGCAAAAATATCAGCGATTTGCTACATTTTCAATTGATTTTGATTTTCCTAAACGAAATCACAACTTTGCCTTTTCTTATTTTGCCAATGCTATAGAATATGAGCACCCTTTTCTTCTTGGTAGAGTGTCTTTATGTACTCTCTACTAAAGCACTCCCTAGACAAGAAATATGATGCTCTAGATAAGAAAAAATGGTCGTTTCTTCTTCAATAGCAGCAACTTAGCACTTTTGAACAAGTGATAAAGAAACTAATCCTCACAAGTGATATTTCTTATCAAGATTCAAGAGCATCCTATTTTTATTTTTTTATATAAAATCTTCATTACTAGAACTAAATTATGATATCACGATCCTACTACTTCCACATAGTTAGGTATCAAAACCACAATATTTTCTTTCTAGATTTTTGTAGTTCTTGGTGGCAGATGTACTCTTACAATACACTTATACACTTTGTAGAAGTTATGATTATGTGTACTCATACTTACACACTTGCATTGTTCTGCTTCTTGGCAATTGCTTATTTTCCAAATACAACACATTTAATGCTTTTATTTACTGAATACATTTGACATTTATCCTTATAAGCTTGCTTGTTGCTCATTACTTTTGAGCTAAAAAAATCAACTTAAGCAATACATTTTAAAAGTTGAGGCTTCTAATTTAAGGCAAATTGAGGCCTTAATCCATATTTATTTGACTTTTGTGTAAAGTTTAATTTTTTTTGCAACTATTATACAAGTTGCCAAAATATTACTACATGTATATGCTAGACACGAATACATTGGGCATCACTCAATCGCGCAACGCGCGTTACAAAACTAGTAAAAACTTATAAACACCAATGATGATTAGGACATTTTAGGAATGAAAAAAATGTTGGTGTAAACTAAAGCAATACGCACTTGTACAATTTGTTTGATTCATTGTACGATTTATCATTAAATCTATTACTTCTCCTTACCTCCGTTAAAGTTAACTATTGACTTTACAAATTCCAACATACATGCTTATGTGGTGTTATTATTTGTATTATAACATGCACTTGATGCTTTGATTTCCATTAATTATTTTCATTGAAGTTTTTGTTTTAATTTTTTTCAGCTCGTTACCTTATATCTTATGCAAAATTATCATTTGGTAATATCAACTGTGTAAATACTATTATTACACCAACTCATTTCTCTATGCATATGGAACAACTCATTCTGATAGTGAAAAAATATTATGTATGAAGTTTGTTTGTAATTTTAAACATATCGATTATGCTAACCAATGGTGTTTCACTCGATTAATCCTTTCGGAATCAGGGATGGTCTTGTCTACTTCAATTTTGGGCCTATGAATGATATACCATGTTGGGCTTATTTTCAAGATTGACAGTAGAATTATATTTTCTAAAAATAAGGATTATAATAAAACTATCTCATAAAAGTTACTACGTATAAAATAAAGATGAAAGTTTCTTTATTACAGAATAATATTTAAATAAATTACATAGTTGGGCAAAAGTAACAATTCAAGTATCACAAACAAAAATTACTGAAGAACATTTATTGCAGAACAATTATTGATCAATAGTTGCTTTATAATCAATCTTTTTTCAAGATTTCAATACTCAATGCTAAAAATTGCTACCATTAAGCTTTTTGAGACATAGTCGACCGCAGATAAATGGAGTTTTTGCCACTTTTGGTCCCCCGACTATTATGTCAATGACACTTTTGGTACTTGACTTCTCATTTTTTCAATTTTAGTCCTTGACCATTGTGCTAGAGACACTTTTAATCCCCGACTACAAGGTTTCCCACATTTAGTCCCTGAGTATTGTAAAATTGACACTTTTAGTCCCCTCATTGTGATTTTGACACAATAAGTGAAGCACTAAAAATGTCACTATTATAATAGTTGAAGGACCAAAAGTGTCACTTTTAAAAAAGTTGAAGGACTAAATGTGGAAATTTTAAAAGACGGTTACCAAAAGTGTCTCTAACGCAATAGTCAAGGACTAAAAATGAAAAAAATCAAAGTTGAGTACCAAAAGTGTCAATGACACAATAGTCAGAGGACTAAAAGTGGAAAAAACTCCAGATAAATGGGATAGGGTTTGGGAATTGGGAGGCACAGGTTGGCCAGAGAATAGTATAAATTGATAATTTGTAATTAAAAGGAAAAAAAAAACCTTAGAGCTATAAAGATGTGAATAGACATGCATTTATTGATTCAGCAACAAATGTGATGATCTACAACTAGCTTGACTTAATTAAAAATTAAAATTAAATGTATATTCTTTTGTAAACTTGTTTGAGCGATTCCGATCAAAAGTTTTTACTTATGTTTTCATATTTTCAAATCATCAACATAAATTAACCATTAGGCCTAGTTAATTGAATTTAAAAGCATTAAAAAAAAGTCTACTGACATTATGTATAAAGAAAAAAAATTGGACCTAATTTTCCTTCTATATTTTTGGGCCTAAAGCAATCGCCCTTGCTACCCTCCCCTAGGACCGGCCTTGTCATGAATAGCATTGGGCATTTTTCTCTCGCGCATCGCGCGTAGTAAAACTAGTAATAATACTCCCTCCGTCTCCGAAAGAAGTTCTCACTTTCCTTATTTGGATGTCCCTAATTTAAGTTCCAATTTCCTTAAACGGAAAGTTATCTACATCAAAACAGTGTCAAACAGTGCAAAACAGTGTCAAACAGTGCCAAACAGTGTCGAAACAGTGTCAAAACAGTAAAATTTACCCTCTGGTAAGTTTACTCGCATAAAAGTGTGTGAAAGTTTAATGGGGAACTTCTTTCGGGGACGGAGAAAGTAATAAAAATGATGGTGACGACGATGATACTATTTAGTTGGTTGTGGAGACAGGGAGGGCCCGTCGGAGCCTAGAGGGGATCTGATTTGGGCCTTCTAAGGAAAAAAATTACTACGTATATGTATAAATATTTATGATTGTCAAAAAAATATGTAATGCTTTAAGTTTTGGCGTTGTAATATAAGTGTTTGAAGCCTAGTCCCTCTAACACTACATTTCTGAATTCTGACTCTGCCACGGGCAATAGTAGTTAGGGGTGGGCAAACGGGTCTTGGAACCGCGGTCCGGTCCGGGTAATGGCGGTTCGGGTCCAAAACGGGCCGGTTCCATTTTTTGTTCCCATAAAACGGTCCGGGTAGGGTCGGGTAATTTTTTTTTAAGGAACCGGACCGGTTCCCAAATTTAAAAATAACGGGTACCCGGCCCGGCCCGTTATATATATTGTATATTAATTTATTAATAGTTTTGTGATAATCGGTTTTGAAATAGTTTTGTTTCCTTTGCTAGAAGTAGGATTTTAAATTGAGTTGCAGTAACATCCTTTTGTTTTCAAATTATTGATTAAATGATTCATAAATATCTTATTACTTTTTATTGTTATTGAATTATTCCTTTCTATGGAATTTAATTATTTGTTAAAGGTGATTTTTTATATTTTTTTTATTATATTGTTATTAATATATATAAATTGTGCTTACCACCCACCATGTATGTGTCAACTTTGGCTAATACTGAAAATTTAATATAAAAAAATCAATCACTTTAATATGTGATGTTAGACAACATGTTTAAATACAAATATTAGAAAATATGTATTTTGGCTATGTTGCATATTTTTGGAATTTCTTTAATTGTTTGAAACTTATATACAAGAAATTATGGAGTATTGGACTTTTCGCTTATGTTATATGTGCACCACTATGTTGTTATTTTGAAACTTGCTAATGTCCTATATTATTGATTATTGATTTTTGGAACTTCGTGAGTTTTTATTTCAAGACACGAGAATAGAAACCGTAAAACCCGGACCGGACTGACCCGTTTCAAACGGGCCGGGTAATTTCCGGTTCTTATTTTGAAAATTGTAATACCCGGACCGGACCGAACCGTACAATGGAACCGGCGGTTCCATTTTATTTTGTATTACCCGCCCCGACCCGGCCCGTGCCCAGCCCTAATAGTAGTAATAATATACTTCGTTATTAGCTGATCGAGTAATAAAAAACAATGACCCACCGGCCCTGTAAATACTGTTGGAAAAATGCCTTAAAAACTGCATTAAATGGTAATTTTGGGGTAATGTTTTGAGTGGGGTCCACTTCCGATTTTGGTCAGGTCAAAGTGGTTTCAGATTATCCTTGTTAAGCAACAATTCGATATGTGGTACGCTCAAAACGGATAACGGGTGAATGAGAAATTGATTCTCGAAGTTTACTCGTTGAAATGTAAAAATTGGGAAAAGGATGAGTTTCTAGTGTGATTTATCTCACAACGGAAAATCCAAGGGATTTTCACCCCCTTATAAAGGGAACCCTTTTTGAAGGAATTAAGATTCCTAAGTAAAAGGCTCTCTTTGTGCGCAGGGAGGGTGCAAATCAAATCTCGAAAACGGAGAAGAAAAACCGCGACTTGCGTGCGCGGGAGACCTGCGAACACGCCGTAAGGTGTTCTGGTCACGCCTCCGGGGGGTCATCTGGTCACACAGTTCTGGGAGTGTTCTGGTCGCGCACCTGAACGGTTCTCAGGTGCTTTGCGACAACACATCTCACAACACAGTTAGCACGTAGTTTTTGAGCTAAATTCACCTCCAACTCTCCGAAAATTCCCGAGTGTTCATACTCTGTTCTCGTTCGCTGGAACTTTCGTTTGTGTGCTCAAAAGATCGTTTTTTAGCCACTGTATCCTGGGAAACGGTCGTTGCAACGCTCCTAGCACCGTGGGAGCTGAGGCAACAAAAACGTTTTAAGGACATCTTGCCTAACACAAGCTCTGGCTTTTCTTTTTCATCTCATTTCTGTTTTCTTTGGCTATTTTATTTATTAATTAATTTTTCTTTAATTTTCGAAACACACCCTATAATTACTAGCCCTTGTAGTTGAGATTAAGAGCCCGTTTGGTAGCACAAAAATCGGCTGTTTTGGCTGATTCTGCTGAAATTTATGAAGTTCTGGCTGAAGTGGCTGTTTTGGCTGTTTCTGCTGTTTTAAGTAAAAATTATTTTTAAAATATATTTTATTAATAAAATAAATAAAAAATTATATGTGAAAATAGTTTAAATGGTCATCTACAGTAACTTCAGCCAATACAGCTAGAAAAGTAACTTCAACCTTACTTTTTCTGCTTATTACACAATTCAGCGCGCGAAACTAAAAGTTACGTGTTTGGTGAAAAAGTTGGCTGATAAGCCTGATAAGTCGAAAAATGATGTTACCAAACGGCCTCTAAGAAAGTGTGAATTGTATATAGTAGGTTTTTTTGCAAAGCTTTCTAACCTATTATATTATATGTTTATGTATGACAAGTTCTAGATTTTGAACTAGAATATGATTTGAATGTGTGATATCCCCATTCCCCGAGACTATTACACTGATGTATTAGAGCATCTCCAATGGTATAATGTGCACGGTGCACACGTGGCATGAGAGATAGCCACATAAGTATTAGTAAACAAATTCTTTCTCTCCTTATTTTAATGATTTTATACAGATTTAGTAAGTTTTTCTCCACAATGTCAAAGAGACCGTCTAAATGTTGACATTGCAGTTGACATTGCAGGGAAAACTTACCAAAATTGTATAAAATCATTCAAATAAGGAGAGAGATAATTTATTTGCTAATATTTATGTGGCTATCACCCATGCCACATGTGTACCGTGCACATTTTGGCATTGGAGATGCTCTTAGACCAAAAGGTATTCGAATTATGTAGCTTAATAAAGTCCTAAACTTTGATATGAAAAAGGAAAAAATGAAGTAGGTAGGGCGTTACGTACGTACGTTTCCATCGGGAGTGTAGGCAGTGGCAGTAAGCATTTGATCTTTGTGATGAGTCCAGTCCACAACTCTGCGTTCCGTTATGTTCCAAATCCTCAGCTTTGAGTCTAGACAGCCGCTGATGAAGTAATCATCATCTACGGGATTGAACTGGACGCATGTTACTGCTCGCATTCCATCATATTCATGCAACGTAACCTTGATTAATTAATTCATTCATTTAAATTGCATTTCATTTCAGATTAATTTATATTAAAACTATCCATACGTGCGTGCTGATTCAAATTAGCTGGATAGTTAATTAAGTAGTTAGGGCTCACAAATAACATTGGTCAATTTATAACAATTAAAATTTAGATCGATATTCAGAAACTACATTCAAATTTATACAGAATTGCAAAATCAAAATTGGAATATAATAAAAAATTGATATCCTAATGTGAATAAAATGAAACTATTTATTTTGATAAAAAAAACTAACTTTACAAACAATTTGAGATGGATGTAGTATAAAACTGAACCCAATTAACTGCACTTGGCTGGTTGACCCAGCCACCCCGGTTACATTTGGTTCAGTCTTCAGTTCAATGTTTCTAAGGATTTCAGTTATGTTCCAAACCCGAAATCTTTAGGTTGGAATCGGTCGAAAAAAATTATTTGTCACGCTTTTTGTCTTTGTCTCTGAATAGTCTGTTCACAGACAAAACATAACTTATTTTGTGAAAAGGCTATTCACATACTAAAAATAATTGTTCACAAGACGTGTTTAAAAATAATGTAAAATAGTGTGTACAAAAAAGTGTATACACCAAGTGTTTTGTTAATTTTATTTATTTAATACTGTATCTAGCTAACAAATACTCCAAAACATATTCAAAACATTAACTCCAATTGAACATTATATCCAGATCGATGATAGATCGATTTTGATCGACTAATACGTACGGATGGTACCATGGACTCGGACCATGGCCCAATTATGTATTTCAGCCCATAAACGGGATCAGCCCTCTACAAGATTAGCCTAATTAGCAAGATTAGCCCATAAACGGGATCAAACCCGGCCTAATCGGGATTAATATTAAATAAGTCGCTGGGCCTAAATAGGAATCAGGCCCACGATAGGAACCCACAACCAGGTCGGGCTGGACAGCAGACCTCAAGCCAGGGCGGAGTTCTAGTGAGGCTGTGATATTCCTAGGGCTTACGTGGCAGACTATCATTTGAGCATAGCTATTTGGTAACAGGCAGGACTCAACGGAAGAACGTGGACTTTAAGGAGACAATCATTGCACAACGTCCAAGACGTTACAGGAGACTTATTCGACTAGAATATAACTAAATACGGAGTAGCATTTATTGTATCAGTTTCCTCCTGAAATACTAGCTCCTAAGTCTATAAATACTTCCTGTAAATTCCCTATGGAGGGATCGGTCAATTGGTTCTCCGGACTAATAATAAACACTACCTTACGCTGCCCATATTTTTCATATTTTTGGTAGATTTATCTCTCGTAGTTGGATTAAACTCCATCACGTACCATTTTTTTAAGACTTAGCTAGGCTATATAGTTTTGGATTATATATGCCCCTTCTATGTTCTAAAGTTGAGTAGTTCTCAATATATATACTCCTAATAAAATAAGATAATAGGTCAAAAAAATAAGAGTAATTGTTCAACATTTAAAAACAAGTCTTTTTTTCGTGTGTGTTGGACAACAATACCCCTGCAGCTATTGCCATTGCCATTGCCCACCCCCATTGCTACAGTACCGCCGACGTAGCTCCGACAACTCTCCAAAAAAATCCAGAATTGCACCGATCGATGTTGTCTATTGTCAGCTGTTAGAGCTCCGCAACCACCACCATCGCTGGGCTGACCCGCCACCAAGGGAACTATGGACAATTTATTTAATTAACTAGAATAAGGGTAAGTGTTAGGTGTAGAATATCAATGTTTTCTCCTATTTAGAGAAAAACCTGTGTTTTACTCCTATTAAGAGCAATTATTATTTAAAGTTGTAAACTAAACTAATTGAATGCACTTGCTTAATTACCTGCATGCAAGTATGTGTACCAGCTAGATACTTGGCTAGTGTTTTGTCATTTGTCAACTATGTAAGTATATACGTAATCATTGTACGTACCATAATCATTGTGTACAAACTTTTTCAAACAGCTCCGAGTTTCCACGTCCCATAGTCTAACAGTTTTGTCCATTGAAGAGGAAAGAAGCCGCATCTACAAACACATATACTGGTATCATGCAACATACTGAAGTAAATCAAGTAATCGGAATTACTTATCAAAATCCCTAATCATGTTTCTTATGACAGTGAAAGCAGCATGGTAACAAGAAGGCATAAGTGCCAAAATGACAAACGTAGCAACATGGCAGTAAGAAAAGAAAAAGGGAAGCCTAGTGCAGCACCGAAATTCATATGTTTGCCAGAACAGAAATTCATGCTTGGTATTAGATGGGAGAGAATACCAGAGCTTATCTAATAACACTGAAATTGGTTGAATCTATTGAATATGTTCAATCTCAGTTCATTTCATTTCATATTCTACTACATGAAATCAAAATTGAAAAAGAATTTGAAATGGTGATGGGCAATTATGAAAGTGGATATTAGAAGTACATAATACATATACGAAGTATATGATTAAAATGACCTGAGATTTTGACCAAGAAAGATCCAAAACAGCATCCTCATGGCCTGTGAGAGTGCAGAGTGGTTTCTCTGAAAGAGCAAACACAGTTTCTGGAACCATAACATAGTCCGGAATAGATTTACTATCCTTCTTCTTCTTCTTCGATTTCCCGGATATGATCCTAGGACCTTCATCATCCCCATACGCTAAAGCATTCTCCGAACTGCAATTAGCCATGGGATGAACGGGAGACGCAGATGAAAGATGAAGTGGTGTGGAGCTCATCATCATCGTCAAATCGTCCTCGTCACCATCAGAAGGCGGCCCTCCCGCCGCCGCCGCAACATCACATTCTTGAACCTCCCATATATGAATCACTGTATCCTGTCCGGCACTTGCCAAGTGATGGGCATCCGAGCTGAACTTGATGCTCCAAATCGAGCCCTGATGCGCGTGGATTTGTTGACACAAGTGCAACCCTGTGAATTCCTTGTATGCCTTCCCGTGCTGCCGGACCTTGATCCATTGAGACGACGCGGAGGAGGAGGAGCTGTTCTGGTTCATCAGTTTGGGTTTGGGTTCGCCGCCGCCAGCAATGCTCTTGGAATGTGCGACCACCCCCTTTATGTTCCTCAAAATCGCAACCCCTCTTCGCTTGCTGTACCTCACGCTCCTCCTCAGATACGACGACGACGACGATGAAAGCGGGGAATTTATGTGCCTTTCTAGTTTTCTGCCACCGTCGTCATAATAGCATGACGACGATGATGCTCTGCGTCGCATCATACCGGGAGGAGGAAGATAGCAGAATCCGCCGAATTCCTCCTCCGCGGCAGATCTTATGATGGGATCATTGACCACACCCGCTGGACCGCGCTGGCCGACAGGCGGTGGCGACGACGTGTTGGACAGCGTTCTGGTGAGATGCTGTTTAGGGGTGGACCCAATGAACTCCTCTTTCCTTTTGGTAGATAAACATCCTGCCGCTGCCATATCCCCAGCGGAGCTTGAGCGAATTAGAACATTAATGTTAACTCCTCTTTCCTTCTGGGCACTTTCATCAATCTCGGGGAGGCTCTTGTTGCTCAACAGCCCCATACACTGAAGGAGGCGACGCCGGCGCTCCTTGACGTCCCCTGGCTCCCCCGTCCATAGCTCATAATCTGCCTGCTGGGCAGAGGGGAAAGATGTGGCCGAGGAGACGGCGGAGCTGAACGAGGCGCGCCCCTCGTCGTCCGATCCCGATGACCCCAAGTCTTCTGGCTCCAAGAAGTTGTCGTCGTCATCGTCATCCCCGTCCCAGTTCATCGTCAACCTCCTCCGGTGCTCCATTGTAGCAGCGTCCGCCTGCAATTCAAAATTTCCTCACCATTTCTTTTGCTCCACAGAGCAAACGGTTGGTTGGTGAGACAAGGGGAGCGAGCAAATTAAGGAAAGGAACCGTTACATTTGTGAATGGAATTTGTTGTAAGAGGAGGTAAAATGCACGTAGAATAATGTTCCTCTCAATCCGGACACATCGAACCGCCGTCCGGTTCACGCCATTTGAGCTACTTCGCCGTGAAACTTTTTGATGAAGTTGTGTGACAACGTTCTTTTAAATTATCTACACAAAAAATTTCAACTATAATTCAAAATCGCAAAATTAGTGAAATAAATTATTGACTCTTAAGGTGAAAATATGCATAAAAGCTCAACGTTTTTCGACAATTTATTTAACTTAATTCCCGATCAAATTTTAAGCTGAAATTTTGTCTGAATGTTCTACACTTTATGAAAATCATGTTTACAAAATTTCATCAATTACTTTAACCTAGAAGGCCCTCAGATAGGCTTGCCGGACGGTAGTTTCCGTCAGTCCGAACTGACCTGAATATGCCTCAATACTGTTAGCCACGTTATTATTCTTAATTATTCTAAGTACATAATTTATTTGTGTAACGTTTTTAGCTATGTACGTAGTAGTAGTAGTATTAGAATAGGAATTATTGTATCTTTATTTCCTTTCCTTTTCTTTTTCCCAAAGTCACGCATCTCATGTACGTGTGTTGGAGTACTCGGTGCGTGCATTTGTATATATGGAGGGCTACAGATTGTAATCAGAGACGGGACGAGAAAATATTTCCCAAATATCTTTTCCATTTTTTACATGGTATCAGAGCCAAGTATATATGTTGACGACTTACTAATAACCGGCAATGATCGTGGAATGATTGAGCAATTTAAGTCATTTCTGGCTACTACTTATCCTGTTAAGGATTATAGGGGTCATGAAATATTTTCTTGGCATTGAGGTAGCAAGAAATCCAACGGGAATTTTCCTTTGTCAACGAAAATATGTACTTGACATTCTGGCTGAGACAGGGCTGTCCGGATGCAAACCGGTTACGTTTCCTATGGTGCAAAATCATCACTTGCAATCCGATTCTAGTCCTTATTTTGCTGATCCTGAGCGCTATCGGAGACTTGTGGGATGACTCATTTATCTGACTCTGACCAGGCCAGATATCAGCTATTCTGTGCATTATCACAATTCATGCAACGTCCGAGGATAGCACATTGGGAGGCCATACTTCAGGCGCTCAAATATCTTAAATCATGACTTGGACAGGGTATTTTGTTGAGATCGGATTCGCCTCTCTCACTCACAGGTTATTGTGATGCCGACTGGGCTAGCTGCCCGGTCACACGTCGATCAGTTACTAGATACTTTGTGACACTAGGCCATTCACCAGTTTCATGGCGTACCAAGAAACAGGCCACTGTTTCCCGCTCTTCTGCGGAGGCTGAATATAGGTCCATGGCATCATTAACGTGTGAACTTATTTGGCTCAGAAATCTTCTTCACTCACTAGGAGTCACACAGTCCGCCCCGGCTCGCCTCTACTGTGACAATCAGGCCGCACTTCACATTGCATCAAATCCGGTCTACCATGAGCGGACCAAGCATATCGAGCTGGATTGTCACTTTATACGCAATCATATTCAAGCCGGAACTGTCACCCCAAGTTACACACCTACTACTGAACAACCTGCGGACTTACTCACTAAAGCCCTTGGAGCTCAACAATTCACCTACTTACTTGGCAAGATGGGCATTTGTGACCCTCATGCTCCATTTTGAGGAGGGTGTTAGCCACGTTATTATTCTTAATTATTCCAAGTACATAATTTATTTGTGTAACATTTTTAGCTATGTACGTAGTAGTAGTAATAGAATAGGAATTATTGTATCTTTAATTCCTTTCCTTTTCTTTTTCCCAAAGTCACGCATCTCATGTACGTGTGTTGGAGTACTCGGTGCGTGCATTTGTATATATGGAGGGCTACAGATTGTAATCAGAGACGGGACGAGAAAATATTTCCCAAATATCTTTTCCATTTTTTACAAATACATGTACTAGTTATCTACAAAGATATAAAAAAACTATTGATACATTTTTTATACCCACACAATTTTAAACACGTTTGTAGGCATCTATTTTTCCCCTGTGATACTGTGATAGCATGTTCGGATGAATTGTCTCAATTTTACGGTACTAATTCTCAAGCCTAAATGGTAACGTCAAAGATCAGACATGTGTACTCTTTAGTGACATGCAATTACAAGAAGATTAAAAAAATACTCCCTCTGTCTCAATTTGTTTTGCAAAATTTCCTATTTTGATTGTCCCAAAATGATTTTCCACTTTCTATTTTTGGTACGAATAAGATACTTGTATACCCTTACTATTATTGCTTTACGAATAAATTAAAAGGTTGAATTAGACATGTAATGCACTGTAGCTTTTGTACTTTCTTGTAAGCCTTTCTAATGTTGCGCACAACATCACCGTAAAGTGCTTTTTGAGTTTACTTTTCCACTTTTTCAATTTCTCCTTTTGTTTTACTTCCTCCGTTCTTTTTTAGATATAACGGTCAACATTTCACATTTACCAACACACATCTTTGACCGTAAATATATCTTATTCTTTATTTTTAAAAAATAATTAAAAATCACTTTTTGAAAATTTGTAATGAGATGAATTGAACAATATTTTTTAAAAAAATAATTATCATAAAATAATAGTGTAAAATGTAGTCAAAGTAGAGTCTGTGAATAGTGTAAAATTCAACATGTTGCGATTAAAAAGAAACGGATGATAGTATGAGGCAAGGGTAAAATAGGAACCTAAATATAAATCTATAAGCTTTCTTAATTTTCGTGCCGGTCAACTTTTACACCTCAATTCGGGACAAAGGGAGTAGACAACTATTCATTATGAAATATACGCATACAAGAAAGTACAAAAGACATGCGAGGAAAGAAATGCACAGCCTTGCTTCAGTTATACTCTAATGATAGCCCTTAAAACAATATCTTGTCTGGTCTAATCTTGCAGGGAACATTTTGACATGCCATTCAATTTGATATGTATAATAAACATAACTAGGGATGGACTGGGTCAGGTCGCCCCAGTCTAGGACTCGGTCCGGCACGACCCGGCCGGCGGTACCGGAACCGGTAGTGAGGACCCGAACCGGGAATCAAATGGGGCGGCGAGCTTCGGGGCCTTATTTTAGTGGACCGGCCGGGTCCGGGACCGATCCGGGCCAAAATATATTTTTTTTGTTTTTTGGCATTGGGCAGCTGCTAGGTGGGTTGGGCTGGGTGTTTTGGCAAGATTTGAGGTGGAGGGTGGGGGTAGGAATAAATTAAAAAAGACTAATTTAAAAACAAAAAAAAAACGACCTGATCCCGGTTCAAACCCTGTCCGATACCAGACCTTCAGCCCAAATCTCCAGTCCCGCCCAATCTTGTCCTGGGGCCCAGCCCGATCTGAGCCCCATCCATCTCTAATCATAACCCTCAGAAAAGTATTAGTAGATCTAGTTTTTCAGAATTCAGGGCAACTAGGGCCGGGCCCTGAGCCGGGACTAGGGTCATTGGCCAGGTACCGGCCTAGGTTAGGACCGGGTCGGGTCTAGGTTTGTTTTTTTTTTAAAAAAATTGGTTTTTGTGATGTATTCCTACCCACCCCAAACCACCCAGCCCCACGCCCCCACCCACCTAGCACCCAATCCATTCGAAAAATTAAAAAAAAAAATTGGCCTAGACCAACCAGACCGGCCACCAAATAACCATCACATAGCCCACCCCAACCCCCGGTTCGGGCCCCAAGTGCCAGTCCTGGTCGGGCTGGCCTGGCCGGTGCCACACAGTTATGGCTGGACTCGGGCCGGTTCGGGCCTGGGCCCGGCCGGGCCTCGGGCCAGAAAACTAGGGCCCGGGCCCGAACCGCCGGTGGGCGGTTCCGGTTCCGGTTCCGGGCCAAACCGGGCCGGGCCGGGCCGGGCCGAACCGGCCCACTTAATTTTTTTTTTTTTTTTGGTCTCCTATTTAATCCCCTACCCCTCCCCCTCAACCCCAAACCATCCCAAACCACCTCAAATGGCCCAAAATACCTAATCCAACCTAAAACTTAAAAAAATTTCAAAAAAAAAAAAAAAAAATTAAAATCCGGCCCGGACCGGGCCCGAACCGGCCGGGCCGGTTCACCAAAACCTGGGCCCGGGCCCGAACCGCCCAGCAGCCGGGCCGGGCCGAACCGAACCGGTGGACCCACCGGGCCCCGGGCCGGGCCGGGCCTAACAGTAACCGGGCCGGGCCGGTTCCGGGCCGGGCCGCCCGGCCCGAGTCCAGCACTACACACAGTAGCGGTCCGAACCGGCCCAGTACATGCCTAGGGCAGACCAATCATGGTCAATCAAACTTTCTATTTGCCAAAAAGTTATCTTGTAATACTATATGGAAAAGAGACCACCATAATAATAAAATCATCCTATATAAAGCATTCAGTGAGAAGATCATGCCGCTCATCACGTGTGCATGTGCAAGGGCGTTAAACAAGTGAGCATATTTGAAGTAAAAATCATGTTAAACGATAATGAACACCAAAACTTAGGGGCGATTCTCTAGGAATATTCATGGATCATGTAATGTCAAAAAAATAACTTTTGCCGCAATTCACAATAGTTTAATCGATTACATTCAAGGGGAATGGTAACTTGTAAGAAAAAATAATAGAACGCCCCTCATGACAAAACTGGATAATAACAGTCTCTAGCTTTAGGCAGCCATACACACCATAACTGGAGCCCAAGTATGGATCTGAAATCGTAGCCTATGGCTTCATTTTAGCTTATGTGATTTCCTTTTGCTTGAAGAGATGTTGCTTTTCAATTCCTCCTGATTTACCTCTGTTAAATCGTCACCTGCGACTAGTTCAGTTCCTCTCAACTTGTGTGATTTCCTTTTCTTGGAAGACGTCTTTCTCATTTCCAACTTATCTTGATTAGACTTTTGCA